TTATTTAAGCTTGTTCTTTAGTGAAGTGGTTCAATATTAGATATTTGTTCTTTTTTTACTTTTAAAAAGTACTGTTCATTAAATTAAAGTAATTTTCATTAATAGAATCCATATAACTCATAAATAGTTGAAGTAAGATGAAAGTTTTTCTACAACTTTTTCTAATTGTTGAGATAAACTATTTCTTTGATCTGCCTAGTAATTGGCCTGTTTCATCATTTATTAGGTTTCCTTCATATTTCTTTTGAAAAGAGATGTTTTGAAGATGCTGGGACTAATTCACTCAATTTATTTTTCTATACACATATGTAGATAATTTTGAAGGGTCTATTGTGTGGATTCAAAGAATCTCTCCTGCCTATCTACTGATTCAAAGTTCTTTATTTGATAATTACCAGAACTTTCATTCTGACTGTACTTCCTTCCACTGTGGTGGGCATTAAGCAATGCATTATTTGGGTAAGTGCTTAAGCTTCACAAATTAACTTTCTTCTTAGTCAAATAAACAGAGCACTTCCCCTCATACCAGCAGTCTTAACTTTCTTCTGTAGCCTTCCTGTGAGCATGGACTCTGGAATAAAGGGAAAGTGTTCAACGTGGGGTTTAAAGGAGTACCATGTTCAATATTAGTTACACTCTTTTAATGAATGTATCTCTCCTGAGAAACAAGTGGGAAAAAAAATCACAGTTGAAAATATAAAAAAAATTAATTGGAACTCATCTGGGGCCAAGAATATATTAAATGGTTGCTAGACAAATCTAAAGCATGTGTAGAACTGGATGCAGAAGACAGAGGAGGCTCAGAGGAGCCCTTCCAACCCCGGAGTGCCAGAAGCTGGGCCCACCCACAAAGTCATGAGGGCCGTCCACATGTTAAATGTTTAGGCGGTGTGTCAGTGGGCTTGAGTAACTTTGCTACCTTTTATTCAAGTGAAGTTGTAGATTCTGCTTTAGAGAGTAGAAGAAAATATCTTTCCCCTTTTTTACATAGTATATATAAAAAAGAATCCTTCAAGGTATCGTATTAATCAGAAATAGTTTTACCATAATTTCCATGTGAGTTAGTGAACACTGAAAGATATTTAAAAAACCACAAAGTTACATGACGTAGCTATTAGCACATCCATAGAACTCAACGTAGATGAAATGTTTCGCTATATTTCAGTGGATGTGAACCTGTCCAGTATGTATATTTTCTTAGCCCCCAAAATTACGTTTTTGCCTCATTTACTGCAATACTTGTAAAACGTTGCTCTGATTGTATAAACTTTCCTGGCTTTAAAAAAATGAAATTTTTTTGGTAACAACTGATCCCACTCCCCAGTTCATAAATACAGTAGTTGTTACGTTGTAGAAGTTGGATTTTAGTAGCACTGGGTAAAGTATGTTCGTAAGATTCAAGGTACTGGGGACAATACCTGTGGGAGATTGCTTCTGTTTTCCACGTCACCAGGCTTTTGCAGCTGGTGAAAGAATTTTGAGATGCATCCTACTCCTTTACACATGAAGTTTGTTAACCTGATTAGACATTCCCAAACACCAATGTTTATAATCGAATTTCATTAGAAGTTATAGCATCAGCTAGCCCAGTGCCCAGTAAATAGTGAATATTCACAATCAGGACCTGTAATGTTACTGGTACATCTTGCTAATCAGGTCTTCAAGGTTCCTTATAATATTAAGTACTTGACTGTATAGAGTAACATGGGTAGGGTGGTTAGATATATAACAGCTTGCTTACAACTCACTTTTGTATGCCATACCTTTGATTTTTTTTCCGGTTTGATATAGTTCTTTTTAGTTTATTGGTACCTCTGTGTAGTACACAATGTTCACATTCCTGTGGGAAGTTGGTACATGTACAAAACACATCTAAATTCCTTTTTCCATGCCCTGTGTCTTTCCTCCTGCCCGCTTCTACCCACCACTTGACCCCTTCCTTTCTTTGCATGTTTGCAGTATGTAATGCTTACCTTCCTCGTGTGGAGTTGGTACAGGGACATAACGCCTTCCAGCTCCTTTTTTCATCCTTTATCCCTGCCTTCCCTCCATCCCCTGTCCCCCTTTCCCTTTGAGAATGGTCTACTTCCTATTATCTATGTTTTATTTCGCTGTTTATTTTTACTCTCGGTTTCTCACATGAGAGAAACAACGTGATGTTTAAGCTTGTGTATCTCATGTACATACCTTTAATTCTTGGAATGTGAAGAGTTCTGGCCTACTGATACCTTTAAGTGTCAAGAAAGTTTTGTTTCAGAGAACTAATATCTGCTGTATCTTACAGACCTACACTGGAGTGAAAAACCTTTTGGTCCCCTTTTAGAGTCTCATGAGTTTGTAGGATTTCTAGAAATGATTGTCCATTTCCTTCATTTCATCCTACATACTTTTACCATACTGTGTGCCTGTCAGAAAAGCTTTTATGTTATCGGTAAATAGCAGAGTTAGTGCTATATAATGTGGATGGGGCATCAGATCATAGGCTAATTTCCTAGATGAGAACAGTCAAAAAAAACAGGGATAGAATGGCAACCTTAAAAGGAAAAGGAGAAAGCCCTCAATTTGGCCACTGAGCAGGAAGCACAAACCTTTACTTTTTAAAGAAGTGGGCAAGGAGCATTTGCTCCCCAAGCTGACCTGCAGAGAGGCACCTCAGCTGCTTGCAGGTGCAGTTCCTGCTGGGTCAACTTCTCTGTGCAGAGCTCTTCCTAGTACCTTGTTTCTTTTCCAATTTATGTTTCCATTCTTTCTCTTTTGCCTTTTAAATATCTACAGAGGTTATCATTAAAAATTAAAGTTGTCATGTATTCTTTGCCATAAGCCCTTTTTCCACAAATTCTTCCCCATCTTTAAGTGATATATTTCATGACTTAAAATTTGTTGGGAAAACTTATTAAACCACAATTGTCTATGTAGTTATTGTAGTTAAGCTGTAAGGTTGCCCAGGTTGTGCATTGCAAAACTCCAGATGAGAAAACTTCACTCAGGAAAACTATGAGGAACTTGATGCCCAATGGCATTTCATGGTATCTAGGAATAAGGTAGTTATACACTTTTAAAAATTAAATAGTATTTTAAGCATTTTAATACTAAATGGCAGGGTCGTCTCGAATCCAGCTGGCTCTGTGTCATAGTAATCTGGAAGCATGGGCTCAGGAGAGGATTTTGCTTCCTCTCTGAAGTCTCTCCCCAGGCTTCAGATTGTTACTAGGATGACAGTTTCTGAAATTTTCTTCAGTTTGGTGAATTAGCCTTCTTTCTGTTTGCAAGACTCTGCCTGTCGTATGAGTTCAGCTAAATATTTCAGACTTATAAGAAGCAGCCTTTGTGGCCCTAACTGTTCAACTATGTGCAGGAGTGGAGGTGGGTGTGTCATCTCCCGCCTCATGGGTAGACCGCCACACCCCATTCTGAGCAGCTCAGGAGTGAGACGAGGAGACCACAGCAGGTGGGGTGTCAGCTCCCCCAGTAGATGGGTGAAGCTAGGACTAGGAATGGCCACTTCTTATGCTAGCTTATGAGCATTTAGGGTCCAGGTCCCAAACACCTGCTTGTAAGCTAAACTATGTGGACAGCTGCCACTGTATTTGTGGTTCATTCACAGTTCTTTCAGCCCAGCTGTGGTTCACCAGGTAGGCACCTTCCTTTTACCATAAGCAGTGCTGCCTCAAAGCAGCTAAAATTCTAACAGTGTAAATTCCAGGAAAACAGAGCTAAGAGGTGAGCCCAAGATTACAAGGTCACCTCGTCAGCTGTACTGTAGGTAGAACATTTCTGGTTTTATTTTTTTTTTTAAAGTGCTTTCCTGCCTTTATCTATTCTTTTGATTTTATTGTAGATTGAAACTGCTAAGGTTTTAAATATATATGTATTTTAATTGATATATAACATTTGCATTTATATTGTTTAGATTTCAGGGGGAAGTAACTGTATGTGTATGACTTTAACTGTGTTTAATAAAACATTCCTCAAAGTAGTTGGTGAATGTCTACTAAATCTGTAGGTTTTACACTCTATAATTCCACTTAAAAATTGGTGTGATGGGGCTACAAGTGTAGCTCAAGTGTGTGGCTAGCATGCAGGTGGCTCTGGGTTCAGTCTTCAGCACCATTGTAAATAAGTGAGTAATGTGTTTTCCCTGGAAAAGGAAAATGCAGTGTTAGAGGGTAAAAAAGTCCCTTTGCTATGTGTTACAGAAAAAACATAATACAATGATGTGCGTTTTCTATGGAGTACTTTTATGTGTGGGTGAGTAGAAGGAAGCCAGTGTATTTATATAAGAGTGTGAGGGTGGATTGAATTTTCAGATACTTCTGTTAATAAATACATTTATGAGGACAATATATGACTTAAGAGATTTTTAAATTTTAGTTTTGCATTAGAATGTATGTGTTTGCTAATGTTCATGTTATGTGTATATTTACCTTTAAACTGTTGCTTTTAAACCTGTTGTGGTTTAGGCCACTTATTTTCATAAGAGACAGTTTCTTGTGGGACCTCAGTAATTTGGAGAATTGAAGGAACATCACCCCAAGGGCCTTAAAAGTGAAATAAATATAATGTTTAAAAATGCTGACTTCAGTATTTTTTTTTTTTTAAAATACTGTTTAATATTGCTTAAAAAAGTATTTATATAAAATTGTCTGGATTTACTTTAGCAAATAGATAGTTAATAGAGATGCCCTTTTTTCATTGTTGTAAAAACACTTTACCAAATTCATTTCTACTCTTCAATTTCATTTATATTTCTTACTATGTCTGCTGAAATGTCTAGTCCTAAGTAGAATGAGTATTTATATTTTTTCCTATCGTATTCTCAGTATTTATTGTATCTTATACATGATTCATTGACCTTTTAAATATATATATATGTAGTCTGAAACAAAACTAGAAATTAACATAAATTAATAAAACAATTAGAATATTATAACCACACTTTGAGCCTTTTTTCGGTGAAACTTGAAGGTAATGATATCCTGTTGCCTTTTTTTATTTTGCAGGTGCATTTTCTTGATTTTGAAGTAGGACCTCTCAGTCAGAAAATGGAAAGCCTAATGTGGATTAGAGAATTTGCAATAGAAGCGAAAAAGAGAAATATTTTATTATGTGGTCTTCTAATAAATTATTCACAGGTAGGTAAAATGTTGGTACCTGAAGAATGTATATTCTCTAGATTTTAATTTTAATAGTAGGAAACTGATTTTATTGAAAGGAAAGTATATTAATGATAAGGAAATTACTCATCTGTTCCTGTACTGTAACAAGTAGAACATCTTGACTCTAATAGAAAAAGAAACACAAATGTTTTTGGAAAAAGTTGTAAATGAGTGGATATCTCATACTGGGTAGCCTACATTGAATTGCCAGTTTTTTTAGTAAGTAAAATTTAGGATGCCCAGTGGAAATTGAACTTTAGATAAGTTAAATTTTTATTTTTCAAATTTGGAATTAAATTTTTTTTTTTTTTTTTTTTTTCTCTGGTACCGGGAACTGAACTCACGGCCTTGCGCATGCCAGGCAGGCGCTTTTGCCGCTGAGCTAAATCCCCAGCCCCTTGGAATTAAATTTTAAGATGTAATTTAACTCCTATATTTAACAGGCAGCCCTACAAGCGTACAGCTCATATCCTGTGATATACAAAATTGCTCACATTTGTTAGGTTAAAAATACTAGCATTCAAGTCTTTTGCTCTTCTGACATGTTATTTAAATACTTGAAATCAATGCCCAAAGCTCAGATTATGAGGGATTGTGGGAATAAACTTCATTGTCAGTCTGTTTAATAGCAGTAAGTCAGTTAACTTGAAGAGAAAATGAGCTAGCATTATAGATTCTTTGTGGAGAGACATACTTTTGGAAACCAAGACTTTGGAGCATCTGTTAGAGAAGCTTGATGTGTATAGATAGATAGCCTTGTGTATAGATAGCTTCCATTGCACTGTGACTACTTTATAGTCTCTGAGGTGTGCCAAACAGGAGGCCTGGGAAGTCACTCATTTGTCTTTTTAGAGGTCTGGAATAACAGTGATTTGGTACTGACTGTCCAAGAAATAGCAGATATTTAAAATTACATATCGATTATGAATAACCTTGATTCTTTGTGAACTTACTAAAGGTGCATGTTTAGCCCATGACATACATTTTTTTTAAATGTGAATTTTAATTAAATATAAGGACTATCTTGGAGCCAGTTCTGTGGTTTTAACTTTGTGGTTGTTTTCTTGCCTCCAAAACATGCAAGCATGACGTCAACTTAGTCATCAAGAATAGGGCAAACTGTAGTTTACTTAGGAAAATGGGATTGTAAAATGTTGCTGCAGTAGAGCTGTTGAAGTCAGGACAATCTGTAGCCCAGGATGAATATGTATTTGGCTAAGGACAGATACTTGGTGAGGAAACACTAAGACCTCAGGTTTATACCTTTGGTTAGGAATATTCCCTCTTTAGTAAATTAACATTTTTGATTATGCTGCACCTAATATGATGGGGAAAATAAATGAGTTCTTCTCTTTATTTTAAGCAAAGGATCATAGTTGCACACTACAAATACCACATTGTGCAGATATAAAATAAAATTTATTAGCCAGGCATGGTGGTGCATCGTTCTGATCTCAGCAACACAGGAGGCTGAGGCAGGAGGATCACTAGTTTGTGTCCAGTTTAGGCAATTTAGTGAGATGCTATATCAAAATTAAAAAAAAAATTAAATGGTTGGGGTATATATGTATGTAACTCAGTGCAAAGTCCCTGTGCTTAATCCTTAATACTGTAAAATTAAATAATTGAGGCAAATCTCAGAAGCAGAGAAATGGAAAAAGCATATACAATCCCTGGAACTCTCATGGTTCCACAGTTTAGATTAGGCATCTGCATATACTGTAGCTAACTTTGCAGTAGAAAATAGGTTGCTAGTAAGATATTTTTTGGGGGGAGGGTTCTGGTAGTGGGAATTGAACTGATGACCTTGCGCTTGCCAGGCAGGCACTGTGCCGCTGAGCTAAATCCCCAGCCCCAGCTAGTAAGATCTTGAATCCTAGTTAAATTTGAATTCCAAGTAAACCATGAATAATTTCTAGTATTAAATATGTCCAGATATTACATGGAACATAAGTAGCTTGTGCTTTTATGTGTTAAATCTTACAACAGATTGCAACAGAGTGTTCCCACACTTGGCATGTTCTAGATATTTATGGGGTGAGGGATGTATTTATGTGGCTCTGTATTTGTGGAAACTCCCAGATTCTAAAGGTGAGCCTGTTGGATAGGAGAGGCCTTTGGAGCCTATTACTTGATATCAAACCCTTGGTATTCTAGATACCAACAGTGGAGAGGCAACAAGTCCATAAAGCCTCTCTCTAATATTAGGAGGCAAAGATAGATACATAAAATACCTGTACATTGAAGACTCAGATATGGTGTTGGTTTGTACTTTTGGAGGTATGAAATAGAACTGTTTGTAGTTTTCATGCATTGGACTTTGATCCTTTAATCTAATCCTTTGCTGTGGTTGCTGTTGGCATATTTTCCCTGGTCATTACTGTATATCTTTCTTAAGTTTCTGATCAGAGAAGACTTCAATTTTTAACCATTTTTTATACTCATGTAGAACTTCCTGTGTTTGGGGAATTTGAACACATTAGTATTATTCTATTGTTTCAGTCTTATTGCTTTTTACTTATGATATAATACAGGTATAACTTTTTGCTTAATATTACTTATGAATTTATTGTCTATTTTTTATGTGCACTTTCAGATGAAAACTAATTTGGAGAAAGGCAAGGATTGATCGCTTTTCTAGTGTCTATACATTTTCTGTAGTGTTGTGAGTAATGAATTACTGACCAACCTTTGATAATTCATCTGAACATATCTTTCATCAATTTCTCTATATTTACTTTAATTATATCAGAAGAAATTCTTCCAAATACTTTGTTGAACTCCAGATATGCCCTATAAGTATACATTTTCCAGGTTATAAAGGTTATTTGCTAAATTATTCAATATATTTGATTTCTTAGCTATGTTGATACAAAGCACTTATTAACTTCTTCCTAAATTGATTTTAAAATACTTGAGAACAAAGGCAAAAAGAAAATCATTTAAATTAGCCCCTTTGTGGATGGTTTAAACCGAGGCTATGTATGGATCATGTTATTAGGTTGGCCATTAATGTGTGACTTAAAGTTTTCTGATTTATCATTCAATGTGCATTTCCCCATGTTGCTAATGAACTAGGAAAGATTTGAAATTTATGCTCTAGACTAGATGTGCAGTATAAAGTTTGCAATGCAGTTTACCGGATGAATTTAAATTAGGTTGTGTCCTTTTCCTAAAATAACCATGCATATAACCATGCAGATACAACCATGGATAATTAAAGTGAGATTTTGTAGTTTAATCCATATAAAAGATCTTAGGTTCATTATGTATTTAAATCTATGGATAAAATACTACTCTTTAATCATCATTTTTAATAAAAATTTCCATATAAGTTATTGAGCCCCATGATATAAAGTTATACTGGGAAAAATTTTTTAATAACTGGAAAATCCATGCTGTTCTGCGTAGTGAATTTATAGAGATATACTATTTCTGGGGGGAATGTTTCAAGTCAGTTTCTTTTCATACTTAATTTTGTTGAAATCTAAAATATTTTATAATGATTTTTAATGCAAATATTTGCAAGTATACCTTTTTCAATAAGCTTTACATATACATTTCTGTGACAAGAAAATGTTAGTGTGTATAAAATGTATAAATTGCTGTAGCGTTTTTCTACTTCATATGTGTATTTTACATGCTCAGGGATTTAAAGATACAGTTACAGAGCTTCAAGGTTACAGAGTTTTCTATAACTATCATAACTGACTGTTTATTCTACTGAATTGTGTTTATGCCCTTCTACAATGAAAAACTAGCGGTATAAGTTTGGGCAAGTGAGGTAAGTTTCTGTTCCCATTTTCTCCATTTTGTGCAGACTTCAGATCTCCCCCATCACGCTCTGCACTGGGTGGGAGGGTGGAAACTCAGGAGAGGTGTGTGCCGTACCCACACAGGGTGCAGTGCATGTATCTGTCTCTCTGACACATGTTAAAGCTTGCGCTTGAGCCTGGATTTTCTTTAATATGCTATCACAAACTTCACCTGCACTGTTTTCTTTACATCTGAGAAATTATTCATGATAGGTAATATAATTTAGTATAGTTCAGAGAAGGAACTTTTTCTCAGACATAATAAAAATAGTGGAAGACAGTAAGAGGGAAGTTACACTGCACCCAAAGAAAGCTGAAGTAAACACTAAGTGTAGCACTGTGACCATTTGCTATATTTTTTCTCTCTCTTTTCTTCACACTGAGCTCCCGTTCTGCTGGGTGTGATACAGTAAGAAACATGGCTTTTGAAAGCAGAGTTTGACTTCATGAGCATATTCACAGGAAGTGCTGGTGGACAGAGCTACAGAAAATGAGCATGGCGGGGTCAGGGGACTTCCTCGCTCTCTCTCTGCTCAATTCTGCTCTTTCTTCTTCCCACCGCTATAGATAGGGAAGGGATACAGAGAAGGAATACAAAGCACTTTTTTGTTTAGAGTCATGACATAAACCTCCAAAACAGTACATAGAGCAACGAAATGAAGATTTTTGTAACAATATTCAATTACATAAAGCTATAGATCTTGGTCTTATATCACAGAGTATAACAGACTACTCTCTATGGTGAGGTAAATAGTACCAATTTTCTATGTTGTCTTGAGTTTTAAATGTTTTGGGTATGCTATAAAGATATCCAGGAAATGTTCTTAACTATGAACCTGCTTGTCATTACCAAACTCATGGTGAAACATTGGGAAATGTGAGCAAGTGGAATTGCTGTAGGGTACCTTGGGTCCTAAAGATTGAATTTGTAAGATACAACCCCTTTTTTCTATCTCCAGTGCTTCCCTGTGTGCTCTATACCTTCTCAGTGTAGGAATCATCCACGAAGTGTACATGATTATTTGTATAATAAGTGGGGGTCTACTATCAATAAGAAGGAGGAGGAGGAGAAAAAAGATGTTTTAAAAAATACTATAATCTTAAGGGAGATCCTTCACTTTCAGGATACTCCTGAAATGAGCAATTAGAATGTAACTGGTA